GCAAGACTGTGTCTGCCTGAAATCTAATGAGGTACATTCTGCACCAAGAAAAACTCCAGAGAGGTATTTATTGTGGTTTTTTTTCTTCCCAGTGGAGTAAGCTCCCTCTCGAGGAATTATTTTGTTAGAGTTTTTTTTTTTAATCATCGGAAATACACAGTAAACTGTATTGACAGTTTAGATAAAGACTATAATAAAAAATTATAAAATGATTGGTTAGTAAGGGTTGCGGTTCTTTAAGATGTTAACTTGCCACTGGCTCAGGGTGATGCCTCGTCAGCAGGTGAGGGAGCTGCCTTCTGCCTGTGAAGCCGTGCTGAATTCATTGGCTGTTTTGGCATCAGAGCCATAGCAAAGGCTTAGGTGAACATTTTGTTATAGCTCACAGCCCAGGCTGCATCTGACTTCCATTTTATGGGATAGAAAATGACAAATAATAGATAAATTCAGTTTGTTTTGCTTTTCCTTTTCAAAGTTCTTTAGAGACTTGAAATAATCTTCCTGACACCCATGCAAGGTAGGCATAGCTATCGAGTTTTACAGATGCGAAAGCCGAGGCAAGGAGGGGTTAAATGTTACATTTCAAAATATGGTACCTAAAATAAGGGGACTGAAGCCCACGGCCCAAATAGCAGCAGTCCTGAGCTCCTGATTTTACTTGAAGACAAGGGCAGTCAGCATATATGTGGGTCAGGCCATACTTGGATGTGCAAGACTGAGGGCTGCGGAGCAAGTATGTCTCAAGTCTGGTTCCTCAGCTTCGGGTCAGACCAGCAGGCCATAGCAGTCCTGAATGGTTTCCATGACAAGTTGTTTCTAGTCCTGTTGAGGATCTGGACATGTGACAGTTTTGCTTCCATGTGATATTTTGCTTCCAGCTTGCCTGCCATTGGTCAGATCCCTTAACTCTACACCTGTTTTTTCTTTTGTAAAACGTCTCCATTACAGGCATGAGTAACTGTGCAAGGAAAGCTCTATATGAACATAAAAGATATTTTTGTTTTTGTTTCCTGGGATAGGCTTCCCTTTGAGAATTACTCATCAAGCCACATATTTGCTTTGCTCAGCACTACTCTAGCAGAAATATTTCTTGTTTATTTAGTCATGCATGTGGGTCTGATCCTCTCTTTTTATCAGAACACAGTTGACTGAGAGCTTAGAGTACCCAGGGAATCCAAAATTATGGCCTGAAAATTCAAAAATGAGCACTGATCTTCACTGTGCAACTTCTGTTGCTTGGATCAGGGCATCAACATGTTTGATTCTTTGCCGTCCTGAGCTTTGGTGCAGAGCAGGGTTATGGTAGTTCTGGGTGTCCAGAAGGCGGCAGCTCCAGCAGTTCATAACAAGCATTCCTGACCCGCCACTCCCAAGGTGCAGATGTACCTTTGAAACAGTGGTTATTTTGACCAAGCACGTAACTAGTTTGACTAGCACGACTTCTGTCAACTCATGGTAACAGTAAGCTAAACAGTACTGAGCTGCTATTTCACAATCTTCAGAAAAAATTCCCAAATTACAACAAAAGGGAATATTCCACCCTCCCACCCCCAAGCTGTTTTCAAAGAGGTTTCAAAAATCATTCAGATAATTAGACTTCATTACTGTGACATTTTATCAAAGGGCATTTTTTTTTTTCCCCCCTTGGACTCAGATATGATCCAGTTTTGCCAATCAGATAAAACTTCCCAAGCTCTTTCCTAGCAGCATCACTAGTTAACTTGATCTTATTGCACTGTAAAGGATTTCGTGTTACAAATAATTATTTTCATAGAATCTCTGTTATGTTGGATAAAATCTGGACAGATTATTTGTAAGAACATTGCCAGGAATATTAACAGCACAACATAGTCTCCCATGAAAGAAAAACGACTTAAAAAGGGTTTCCTTTAGATTAATAAAAGAGAGAATGTATAATGAGGAAAACATTTCCCTATCAGCCAAAGTGCATTAATGGACAGAAGAAATACCTATTAAGCAGAATAATACCTGTATGCCAACCCCCCTTCCATTTTTAAATTGTATATATTATCTTAGCTGTTGGGACTCTTTCCTTCCACCTTGTGAAAGCTGACAATTTTTACTTACAGCCTGGAGCTAAATACTGCAGTGCCTCAAAATGGAAGATGAAACAGGCCAACAGGTTTTCTTTGTCTTCTGAAAAAAAAAATGGAGTGTCATTTCTTCTCCTTGCCCTTGTGCGTCCCTCCCCCCGCTACACCCCTACCAGCAGTAGCAGCTTTTCCTCCAAAAAAGCACTAGATGGTGCCCCTTTTCTTTGAGTGTGTCAGAGCTGGATTTCCCAAGAGAGATGCTACTGCCCCGCCGTGAAGATCACCAGGCACAAGAACCTGTAGGGTCTCCTTGTCCCGAGATAAGTCTCTTTTACTTCTTTTACATCTTCGAACCTGAACCAGATCCATCTTTAGGAGACTGTCTTGTTAAGGATGAAGAACGAGTCATGAGTCATGACTTGAAAGATTCAGGAGCACTGAGATGAATAAAAGAGTGGTTTCAAACCGAAACAGAGAAAAAGCAGACTCCCTATCTTGCTGTGTTTATTTCCAGCACCCCAGTGCTGCAGCATCAGAGAACATTTGCAATATTCTTGACTGTGAAGAAAACTTTTCAAGTTTATCTTTATTAAGATGTTAGCTGGGAATCTGATCAATACTGTTAACTTGGTCATTTTATTATGACCCTTGGCCTTTAATGAGACAAACAACATTTTGTGAGCAGAACTGATTTTACAGTTTTTTTCTCTTATAAAATAAAGTGCCGAACAGGAATATGGCCCTGCCTTATATTTTGCACATTCTGTCAACTTGCACTATGTCTTTATTAAAAGAAATCTGATTAGTCTTGGTTAGCAGATTGTTACCTAGCCTTTGAAACTTGAACAAATCATTGGTGAAAGTGATATTATCAATATTATCTGCATCTCTATTTCCTTTGGCACTGAAATGAACGTGCACGTCATCTTTGCATTTAGATGCTTACTGTATTTTAGTCCCTCAACAGCATAAACAGATAGCATGACATTGAAACAAATCTGAAATCAGCAACAAATAAAATGCCTGCTTCCTGGGAATGAAAGCTGAGGCAGACATCAAACCCCTCCGTATAAAAAATCTAGCATTTCACTGAAACTTCTCATCTGTTTGTTTGTGCATTAAAAAGGACATTAAAATAAGCATTCTTTGAAGTGACCCAAGATAAATTAGTCCAGGTTTGTCATTTCTTACTATTTTTGTAAATTGTCCTTAGAAAATTAGGTCTGTTGGCATCTGGGAACAAAAATTCAACTGGGAAAAGAAGCTTTAATATGAAACAGAAAGAATTATTCCCATGCTCTGGCTGCCCTGTCATATGTCATGACATGTGGCAGGTTGACTGCTCATTAATTCTATTTATATCAGTATGATAATACACCCCACTGAGTACACATGTGTTAAAATATTCATAAATTATGTTTAGTGCAAGCAGATATACATTACATGCCAAAAGAAGACTATTATTTAAAGACAAAACTGGTAAACAGTCAAACATGAGAAAGTCTTTTTAATGTTGGTCCAGTACCTTGTGTATCATCAAACTCACGTTTAATTGCATCTCCTTGCAAACTGTCTCCAGCAATGTCCTATGCACCTTCATGTGTTTTAGCAACTTGCAGAAGAAGCAGCATTTCCTGAAAGCAATTGGAATTTCAGCAATTACTGTAAATGTCATATTATCTCGCAGCAAGAAGTATAACAATTTGAAATATTCAAAATGAAGGTTTACTTTGACCTTCACATGGCTTAAGGTACTCTTTACACTGCTGAAAGCCCTATTCTAAATATTACACAATCCAAATGCAAACTATTTTTTTAGGTGAAATACGGTCCAGCCTCCAGAATATTTGATCTTAATTTATAGTTAATTTATGCTAAAAATAGTCTAAAAATAATTAATCACACAACTGCTGAGGATATTTTATGTTGCATATAAATATTTCTTAAACATTTAAGTGCTCTTTAAAACAGTACAATTAAAAATAGTTTTTAAGAGTAATTCCCTATCTCATTAATGTGCCTGTACCTGTTTCTTAACATCTGGTCATTCAGAATCAGCATTCTCTTCTACATGCATCAATTGTGGAGGTGCTTTTGGCGTGGTGTTAGAATGAAGAACGTTGAGACACATTTTTTATCTCACAGAAAGGCGTCGTGAATTGTGGTGAATTCCTTAATTCAAAAATACTTACTGAATGACCTTTTATATTTAAAAATACATCCCGTACCTTCATAAATTATCACAATTGACTGTGGGCTGATGTCACAGGTGTTAAAATCACTGCGAGCTTCAAAATTATGAACAGAAGGTATGACACATTACACGTTTGTTTGCCGTTATTGGGATAGCAGTTATCCTCCTAAGTAAGTACCAACCGAGCTGGTTTTTATATCCTGTTAGTGCTTCACGTTTGGAAAACAATTTCAAAACCTTTTAAAACATCAAATGTGGTAATGGGGGCAGGGAGAAGGAAGGAGGCAGTTGCTACGTGGTGGAATTCAAAAAAAGATGTATGATGAGAGTCAGAGTTTATGTATTTCGTAAAGGGCAAATAGTTACCCTGTTTCTACTCAGTTTTAAGGGATCTGAACAAGGGCAGGATAAAGTGGCTGGCTGCAAAGCGTATATAACCTTTCTAATCACAAAACCATACTAATGTTTCTAGCAGCAGCGAAGCACATTGGCTTCTGATAAAGGATGAAGAGGGGCACAGGAGCACGGTGTTACCCAGCCAGCTCTTGAGCACGTTTTGTAGGATTGTGGCTTGCCTGGGTGACTGTAGGCAAAGCAGGTGCCCCTCTGTTTGAGCTGCACTGCCACATGTGCCCATCCAGATAGGTGGCGTGGTTTTACCCACCAGCAGAAGGGTTAGAAGGGGTTGGGAATTTTCCGTTTCTTTGATTGCAAAGGCTGGTTTGAGGAAACTGAAACTTTTTTTTTTGCAGGCAGGTATCGATTTCAAAGACACTTTCATCAGAAGAGATTTGTCAGCCGTCGGATGGAATTTCTGGTCGCGACCAGGAGGAGATGGCAAGGTTGGAGTATCAGGTAGCGCCACCGGCGGGGAACTCACCTGGAATGTGGAAAATCAAGGTTCAGGCCTAGAGACTTGAACGTGAGATTTGCAGAGTGAGTATCCTGAACGTTAGCTGTGGCATTTAACTGTTTATGCAGAGTGGAACAGCTCTAGCAGAAGATCTGGAGACAGAATGTGTCGGGCTAACCTGATGCTTAAGACACTGTGTAAAATGGGAGAATGGCAAAGCAGGCAGCACCAAGCAGCTGCTCTACTTACCAGGCTTTTAAACACTGTCTCTCCTTCTCTCATACCAGTGTATAACATTCAAAAAGTCTTGGTCCAAGAGAGGAATGAAAACACTGCTGCAATCTCATCAAATCTTTGCAAAACTTGAAGCCTGCTTCTTCCACTCCGCTGCCGATCCTCTTTGCCATAGAAACAAATTGCAAAAAATCCACTGAATTCTTGGGAACAAACTGTTTCAAGTAATATAATTTGTCAATAGCTGGGGAATTTACTGGGTATAAGGTTCATTGTTAGTGTAAAAAGTGTGGTCTCTTAATACGACAGCTTTTATAAATAAAATGCTCTTTGAATTTTAAGAAACTTTGCAATAATATAAACAAGGCTTTTAATCTTGTTAATGGTAACAGCATATTATATACACCATCTAATTTTATCAAACAGTAACAGTTGTAGTTTTTATCTTCAAAAACAGGTTGTGAGTGCTAGAGGGGAATAACTCTTCATAGCAAAAGCTAAGTTAATTTTATGTTGTCTTATGTTGCTGGCAAAGAAGCCTCTTTTTTTTTTTTCAGCTCATTTTTTTTCTGATTTTTTTTTTTTTTCCTGAAGAAAGGAATCATTTCACAGTTTATTTAAACACAAAAAAAAAAAAAAAAAAAAAAAAAAATCACATTAAAAAATCTCTCATTATAAGCTTTCTGAAAGTTTGCTATGCACTTTCATGTAAAACTTGGCCTCAGTACAGAACTGCTGTACAATCATTTTCATCTGAGATTTGAACATATTGGAAGAACTAGAGCAGTCCTTTCTTCTATCCTGTCATTTTTTTCCCTTGGAAATGATGAGCATATGGCAACCACCCTCACTGGATTCTCAAACAACAGGAGGGACCTTATTTCGATTCCTGCATCCTGTCATCAGTGAATCCCATGATATTTTGTTCTTGCAAGGCTAAAGATGTGATTCGCATTTGCCATAAGGACAGAGCTTAATGTGATGCCATTTTACCACAGGAGCCCTCAATCAGTTAATTAAACATGATATAAATCACTGCATGTATTTGTAAAGTAAGATTAATATGGCAAAGTCAGAGTAATGAGGAATCCTCACCATTGTCTGAGTGTGAATCACTGATACAAAGATTACCCTTTTTGAAACTGGATATCTTTGAGTGGGTTTTGTTGGCTTAATCCCTCAGACTGCTTTGTGCAACTTGAAACCCAGAGCTGTCATCTTTAGCCAAAATTTCAGCCATAACTTCCTCAGCTTTCACCCAATCATTTAAATCCGCATTCATAATACTTAGAAAGATCAAGCCTTTCAGCATACCACAAGGCTTCTTCATTCCACCTGGGACATTGGCAACATGTTTTATAAATATTTCATTTCATTTCATTGTGAAGATTCTTCTTTTGTGTTGTTGTGTTTTTTTTTCTTTTCTTTTTTTTTTTTTTCCAGGGGAATTACGGAGTACCCACAGCAGCACATTCCATCACTGCGGTCACTTAGGTTTACAGCCTTAATAAAAGGATTTTTTTTTTTTTTTCTTGAAGTGCTATGGAGCCTTGTTAAACTAGAGCAATTACAGACACACAAGATAGGTGCTCTGGAAAGATCAAAGCCCCCCTAAAGACAGCTCTGTTGGATTCTGGAGCTCTCTTTGAAAAGCGCTCAGTTTACAAAGTAGAGATGTATTAAACCACACATTAAAAACCCCATGTTCAAATAATGCTAACAGCCTGACTTTAGTTAGAACGGAATCCACGTTAGCCACTGTCTTTTCACATCAAACTTTGAACCACTGTGAAGGAAGTCTCCTGATATATCAGCATGCTGTGACGCTGCGTGCATCCTGTGACATGCTGTCTTGCATGGAAAGCTGTCCTTTTGTTACAGAGCACCAGCCTTATACTTTGCTATTCTAAAGCTCCAGATGTGTGCTATGTGTCGTAGGCAGTCTTGATCCGTGATATTTCACTTAGGAGAGCAGTGTGTATGAACGGAAAGGAAAAGGGAAGAAATTATGCTGTCCTTTTTGAGCTTAAGCCTGTGCTTAGGGGCAGGGGATCCAGGAATCAGGACAGAGACAAGTACATTGAAAAGGAAAGGTGCTATGGCACATGCCTCCTCGAACAGGGCCCTGTGCTACACACCTGCATGGTGGCTAGAGAGCGTATCAGAAGCAGAATCCCATCAAAGGAGCTAGCAAGACCATCAGAAGTCCTGTGTACTTTCCAGAACTTGTAGATTTTACTCAGAAGAAGCCTCCAACAGCTTGATAGATACCAATAGCCATGTGATGAAAGAAGCACAAAAGGGGTACTCTTTTAAAATGCCCCATCTGAGGCTGGGGTGTCTGGGAAATAATTAAGTGTTGAGGAAATAAACTTACATCTCCCAGCTCACACGAGAAGCCCCTGCTGCTGCACTGCCTGCTTCCTCATCAGAAAGAGGAGGCAAAGAAGAGATCTGGGTGCTTTCTGTACCAGTCAGTGCAGTTGTGCTGCTGCACATTTAAGATCACAAGGAAAGAGTGCAGTGCTGTGTCTGAAGACCAAAGGAGAAAGGAATGTCCTGAAAGCTGGTCAGTTCTGCCTACTTTACCTGTGTCTGAGCAGAATAAGCAGTGAGTGCCACATGCTCAAAGTGTGTAATGTGCACTGGTGGGGTTTGTGTACCACCAGACATGGGTGACTTGTGTGCAGGGGTCTACCTGCTGTTTTCTGTTCATGTGCCTCTGTTCACTCGGAGGCCTTTACTTGATATCATCCTTCGAGTGTTTGCCTCTGTGAACCCTAAGTGCCTTGTGATTTTAGAACGTGCAGAGCTGAGCCCTAAGGTCAGAGACTTCTGTGGTTGCTGAGGGAGAGCTCCTGGCTGACCCTTTTGTCCGTCCCCATGGCCTTCAGAAAACCGGTGGATCCTGTGCAGCTGGAAGCACTGTCATTGCCCTGGAGGTTTGAAAGGTCTGTGTTTGCAAATGTGTGAATGATGAAAGTAAAAAGGGTAACAGGAGAATCCCTGTTGTATTCATAACTCTTCTGAGCTGCAGGTGCATAAATACAAACATTCGAAACGTGCTGATTTCCTTTCTGTGCTCTGCAGTAAGTTATAATAGAATTGAAAGTGTGTTTTTTGTTCATTCGCGTCCTTTTTCAATTCCACAAATTCAGAAGATTTGCTTTTTGTGCAGCAGTTAATAAACATCATTGTGACGCTGATCTGTGAATAGCAATTTGAATTTTAGCTTAAAACCGTGCATGAATTTCCTTACTATACCTTGAAAAGCGATCTGTTTGAAGAACATCACTTCACTGTCATCACTGTCAATAATGTTTTCCAGGAAAAGACTGCCATTCTATGAAAATATGATAGTACTGCTCTGAAAGGCTATCAGATAAGAGATGTGTTTTCCTTTGAAGTCATACAAGTATTCCTAGATCTGTTATCATGTAGGATTCTTATCATAAATGAGTTATTTAGAAATTACTGTGCGGAGCTAACTTAGAAAGGACGCTGTACAGTGTGTAAGAAAAATCTCTGGAGCTGAGTTAAACCTGTGGGTAGGTGTGCTGACCATTTGCTCTGATCATCTGTGAGCATTGAGGCTGTTCTGAGATGCTGCAGGATTTTACCCATTTGGACATACCTCTGGACTCACCAATCAGCAAGTTAGCCATTTGGTCCACTCAAGCATCCTAGGGCAGGACAGAGCTGTCCCACATGTTTTCTACAGTTTTCTGTTTTGAGTTGCTTCTTTTCTACTCAGGGAATCTATCACTGTCATAAAACTCCAGTTACAGCTGCATTTACTTACTGTGTGGCTTGCTTTTACAGCTCTCCCAAACCTATATTACCTTTTATAAAGCCTGCAACATACATCCCTGTGTTCGTGCTTGTTCTTATTTTTGCCCTATGGGTCATATTGCTTACTTATCCAGGGCTGTCAGACCCTGAATAGCTTTTCTTTATTTATTCCTTTCTTACATTGTTGTGTTTTGTGTTATCTCTAACCTAAAATTCCTTGTCATTTACGATGAAGACTTGCAAAATGCAAACAGTTTACTTAGAGGATTAGGGTTGATGTGAAGGATTAATGCAGAGCTAAAGAATCTCCCTGGAAGATATTTGGATCAAATTCAGCCAGCACAAGTTTCCACAAGTCGTAGTGAGCAGAGAGAATGTATATTTTCATAGATCTGCAGAATATTTGAGGATAATCACTTAAATCTTGAACTGGTTTTGTTTCAGTCAAACTTGTAAGTTTTTAGGGCAGAAGCAGTGTTGTTTCTGCTTTAGAATTCATAAACAAGTGAATTTCAGAGTTGGTGCCTGAGCATTCAGGGAAATGGCATTTGGAGCCTCAACGAGGCTGGGCAGCATGTGGGACCAGCATCCTTGTTGATCCAAATCTTTGATATAGAAGTGGGAAGAAAAAAAAAAAGATAATCTTGGAAAGCAGTCAGCACCTTTCTGTTCATGTGCTTTATATTAAATGTGTTCTAATTTCCTGACAAGTTCTTTTTTGTAGCTTTGTAATCCTCCTTGTGGTAAGATTAAGGTAGGCTTATGGGGCTGCATTATGGGGATGTGTACCTGAATTTGCCTTGAGAAGAGCTGGTGAATGCAGTCAGAGCTGTTGCATTACGCTGGCTGGAGTGTGCTGAGGATCTGACCCAACTCTGGTGCTTGGTGGTAATGCTCAAGTAGGCTTTAGTGGCTTTTGCTCTGCCTTGTAATTTCTTTGCAGCATAATAAAAAGCTCTTTAGAACATTGCTACATAGATTAATATAGAAAGTGCTTGTGATACTTTCATACACAGAGAGTTTAATACTTGGTTGCAAGAGCAAATTGATTGCAGGCAATTCTGTGCTTGAGTACCCAGGAGTGAAAGGAATGATTACAATAACCTCTGGGATTTCTTCTCAGAAGTGGTTCCTGAAAACACCCACACCCACAAAGTATTGGGCACAACAGAGTATTGTTCCCTTCTGATGTGGAATCACAGAAACATATTTTACTTTGGGAGGTGGGAGGGGTGAGGGGGAGAGGAAACTCAAGAGACATTAATGTTTAATGTTTTTAATTTTGTAAAATGAACAACAAAAAAGGATATGGTTTGTGAGTGCCTCTGAGATTGTTTAAACTCTGGCAGCTTGCTATCGGATGAGATGCTAAAAGCCAGGAAGGAAGAAACTGAGGGGCACAGCAAGTAAACTGCTGCTATCTCACCTTTGGCACTCTGGTCTGATGGAAGAGTGAAAGAGCGGTGAAACAAATTTGGCATGCATTGCTGTG